AAAACCCTTCTAATTCTATTCGATCGTCCTTCGTTGGCTTTGGTAATGTATGGAAGCGTGAGGATACAGCTCCGCGTACTTTGAACTCGGAATTAGATATAGGTTAGTGGTTAGATTCAAGCTTCGGCCGCCGGTTTCAATTGGGAAGGAGGATGGGTGGGCCCCAAAGACGGTTTAGGCGTGGTGGAAAGAGGATAGTCCCTGCCCATTTCTGAACAAATCCTGGACTTCCAGCCGGTAGCCGGTCGTACTAAAGGAGCTGATCTAGGTCATCAGTGACGTATTTTGACATATTTTGTATCGCGTTGATTAAAATTCTAGAAATTGCAAATTAATGAACGCCTGCAGCCTGAGTACGGTTGGAAATGTTTTTATTTCACGTCCCTCCCTTCAAGTGGTTTGTGGGACTTAATGGCAATTCCGTTGTGCACGCTGACCGAGTATCGACGAAGACAGGTCTGTTTTGGTTTCGTGCAGATGTTTGTAATCCAGCATCTTTCTGTGCGTTAGATGACCCACATTGATGAGAACCCAGACAGACAGGCGAGACAGCCGTCGATTTCAGCGCAGTTTTGCTGCAGTATTGGGGAAGCGAAATAAGGACGCGGTAATAAAATGACCTTGCTTGATGTGAAGTATTTTTGCTGTTTATGTGTTTTTATCGTCGCGGCCAATATGTGTTCAGTTTTCTGTACAGCGTACAGTGTTATCTCAGTCGATATAGCGACGGGCTACGGGCTGGACTGCCGGGGTTCGATTCCCTGCTGGGGCAAAAGATTATCCTCTCCTTATATAACGTCTAGATCGGCTGTAGGCTCCGCTCAGCCTCCTATCCAATGGGTATCGTGGGCTCATTCTCCGGGGCTAAAGCGAAGCAGAGCTATATCACCGCTCCCCCATGCGTGTTCATGGCGTGGTGCTTAATTAATTAAACACAGGGTCAACTTTACAGCGCGTATGCACAGCAAGCACAGTCTAACACGGAACCTTGTTGAACGGATATTTGTTATTATCAAAAAGGTGCCCCTGGCCCCAAGAACAGGTACAGATTGAAAGACAATTTGAAGTTAGCTCTAATAACGGGGAAACGCTGAAGAGGAAAACAAGACTATAACGGGAAGTTACTTGAATATTACTTTCTGCTCATGTAGTATTGATTCTTACTGTCCTTCCGGAACTTTGCGAGGGAACATTCACATCAGAAATGGGAACGAAATGTGTGCAGACGGATTTAATGGACTACTGGGAAGAGAATGAGGAAAGAAAAGAAAACTAAAATGTGTACTGCTCAGTAACGGTGAAATATTCATAAGTATACCTACCATGAAATGTTGATTTTGCTCACACATAGCCCTGCATACATCATGTTTTTTTTTTCCTTGGCACAACAGCCCCAGTGGGCCTAGGCCTACCTCCATGAACTTCTCCGTTCACTTCGGTTTTTCTAGATCTTACACATTCGGTATGACTCCTTGGGCCGTTGATCAGCTCGTCGCAAGGTCTCTACGTATACACAAACACAGAAAAACGCGCGCGCGCGCGCACACACACACACACACACATACACTCACACTAAACATCCATGCCCTGAGTGGGATTCGAACCCACCATCCCGGTTTCCAAGCGAGCGAAGACAGTACATGCCTTAGACCGCTCGGCTACCGTGACCGGCACATACATCATGTACTACACGATATATTTATCTGGAAATATTAGCAATAATGCCTGTGTGTAAGCTATTCTACTGATAGGAATAGAATGAGACGAAATCTTTTGGCATACCAACTTCAGTATACTCATAGCTGACGGTGGTGTTATAAGGCTAGTGGAATTATGGAGAAAACTGAAATGCTTGCAGGAAAACCTGCCGCTGTGATAGGCCTACTTTGTCCACCACAAATCCTTCATGGACTGCCCCGGAATTGAATTCGGTTCTCCGCAGTGATAAGTCGGCGGCTAACAGAACCGGCTTGTGTAAGTTTATGGAGGCGAATTTCTGTTCATTTTCCGGATCTCACGGGATTGCCTGCAACCTGTAAACTTGTATCCTATTTCTCCCTAAACACGGAAGTCTTTACATTGTATTCCGCGTAGAATAGGCAAGCCGAACAGGAAATTAACAGCAATCAAAGTGGAATCGTGAAAGTTGACGACGATGGTAAAGCGCGCCCCGCAGCTGGACGGAATTCGAACCCCAGTCCGGTAAACCTGTATCGTGTGATGTATCAGTTACGGCTAAGTATGATCACAGAGATTTAAAATTGAATATTTTGTACCTAAAAGAAGAAAATTATACAGCAAACAGCTTTCAGCTTCAGGATCAAATGGACTGTTCGGTCAATCTTTCATGAAACTTTTTAACCTATTTACGACGATATAGCTTTAAATACGGACCGCAGTTTCGGACTGTGTTGGGCGGTCAAGAAAATGTGGATCTATACATCCACTCCCCCATACTCCTTCATGGCATAGTGCTTAATCAGTTAAGCACAGGGACAACTTTACCTTTGCGTTTTGCCTTACCTGTCATATTATGTATGATCTTTGTCCTGCGTTTTGTTGTCGAGATGAGCATGTATTTTTTAATTCCTTAATATCGGTACCACCGTAGTCGTATAATGCCAGTGGTTCTCAACCTTTGTGAGACCGCGGCCCGGTAATTTTTATGAGACCCAGGGCCAGGTATAGTTGGTACTAGGGCCTGGCGGTTGAGAAACACTGGTATATACTGTGCGACATTTTCAGGCGGCGGTAATATTAACGTAATGTGATAAATATTTTTAAACATACCCAGTTTTAACTTTTGGTGGTACGCTAGAAGTTAATTTAAGTACCGCATTTTGAGACGGAGATGTGGAAGGGAGGACCAGTAATGATAGGTAGGTTGGAACTCATACGCGCTTAAATGTGCTTCCCTTAAGCGAAATACTGTACCCTCTCACTATCAGACTGTTCTGGTAATGGATAGTGACCATTACATGATTTCCTCTTATCATACGCACTCATCTCTTCAATTCTTGTAACGATTCTGTTTGTTAGCCGAGCTGCTTTCACTCTACACCGTAATCACTTGATGTGCGTGAATATTTTATTATTATGTTGATGGTATGTGGCTCTGCAGTACTGAAGGCTCGAGCATGCTCAGCGACTCATGTAATGAAAGCAGAAAAGGTAAAGCTGTCCCTGTCGAGGCTCCCACATCTAGACCCCAGGGCCATAGTGCGGCTGGGAGGATTAGGTAAATTGAAAAAATCCAGTGACATCATCGGAAATCGAACCCGCGTCCACAAACAATCTCCAGCTGAAAGATGGCAACAATTTATCTGAAAAGTCTTCAGTACATCATATTTCTAGAGGAGGTGTACTGGTGATTGAGGTGATTTGCTTATTATACTTTCTGACGAATTGGAAGGATTCTTATTTTCGTTAGTCATGTGCCTATTTTGTGTCTGATAGGAAATGACTAATGTTATAGAGCGAATACAATTTCGTTTTTTAACATTTCCAAAAACAGAGATACCATGTATGCGAGATAGAGGGGGAGATAGAAGTGACCAGAAGACGAGGAAGAAGATGCTGGATGACCTTGGGGACAGAAGAGGATATTTTTATTTGAAGGAGAAAGCTCTAGTTCGCATTAAATGGCGGAACTGTTTTGGAAGAGACTGTGGACCTGTCGTCTGACAGATTACTGATGAATGAATAGAACTTCTACTTTACACGATGATCATCGAATTTTAGGGGGAAATCGCTGTTCATCATTTAAGGATTGTTAGCACCAGCGTAAGATAAAATAGAGATCACAGTAACCGGCTGGTTAACTCTGTGTTCGGAAAATGTCCGGTTCAAAGATACTCGTAAATGTCGTGATAGTATCTCTAAATAGCCCACTACCGCTTCGTTCCACATCCTTTCCAAGTCATTCAGTTATTCTACCATTCGACGCTACGTAATATTGAGGTAGTGACCAGATTTTGGAACTGTAAACAATTAAATAAACTCCCGATAATATGTAGAGCTTAAATTTTGTATCATTTTCTATGGTATATATTGTCACGTGTCCTGGGTTCCGTGACTAATACTAACGGGTTCTGGATTGGATGATTGGATCTGTTGGCACTTCTGTACAGTTACAATCAATTATAAGAGCTGATAAACAATGACTGTCTAAGACTCGCTCCATTCCTTACTGGACTTTGAGTGTCTTCTCTTCCACAGTGACGAATGACGAACGAAGAATCACGAGTCGGGTCTTATGTCACGATCGACGGTCAGTCGGCCAGTATGTCTTCGAGTAAACACCCAGCTTGCGCTTACGACCAGATTTTTATTGGTGTCAGACAGTTGCGTGTTTGTTGATATGGGGCGCCCTCTCTGAGGAGGGGACTGTTCTGTCGTTTACAATTGCTGCGGCCTTCTTCAGCTCAGTCATTCTCGGGTCCGAGTCCCGGGGTACTCGCGACATTATTTTACTGTCTCAGATTCGAAACTTCTCTTTTTGTCACCTCCTACAACTCGCAGGGCAACAGTGGAAGTATTCGATCCCACCTCCACACGGGATATTACTTACGACTAAACTGAACTCTCCTTTTATATCCTCGAGGCGAACCGTATATAGAGCATCATCTCGAACAGTTCGACTATTACTGTGTCCATTCGTTGTTGCGGATGCCCGTTTTTGGCGAACCGTTCTCTAGCAATGGATTATATGGCGTCTTCGTTGCAAGGGGAACGTGCTTACCAAACCGTTGTCTAGCAGTTGTCATGTTCGTCACAGTACTTAAAAGAAATGCAGGAAAGGTAATTCTGGGCTATGCAATGCAGTATCTTTCGTTTGAATAGTTTGCAAGAGTGAATTTGTATTTGCAGGAAGTGAACATCAAATCCAGTGAGATAAGATAAACCGCAGAGATGGCGGTTTGAAAAAACACTTTATGATCTCTAAGCTGCAGCGCATCTTTCCATTCTTGTTCCAACACTTGTCATTTTTATGATTTCAGGACCAGTATGAAACGATAGCGCTCCACACACAGAAAGGGATTGATTTTTTAGAGAAATATGGCCATTTTATCCGGGAGAGATGTGCAATCGAGATGGAATATGCATCGAAGCTACGGTAAGTGCATCAGTTTTTAGTGCGATATAATTGACCTTTACCATTTCTGGTTTAATGTTCTAATGAGAAAGATGCCCCTATGTGTATGTGTATCAAAATCTTTGATCAAACATACAGGTTTTCGTTGCTATTGGAATCTCCTTCACCTAAACAGAGTGATTCAGAAAGATGGACACAATTTCAATTGACTATATTTCCTGAACTGTATGTTGCATTTGAATTCTGTAAAGTACATTTGAAAGAGGATGTTACGAAGTTTCTAGTACTACCGCTAGTGCCCTCCATCACTGCGTCCCGGGCCGATCGCGTGTATCGGAGGAGAACGTGGCGTGCATTCGAGTGAACTTTGAGCGCAGCCCAATGAAGTCAACCCGTAGTGCTAGTAGAGAACTTGGACTATCGCAAACAACTGTGTGGCGTGTACCACCTCTTCCCACAAATTTGAATGACCTAAGAAACTGTATCACAGCTGCGGTGAACTCAGTGACGCAAGATATTTGTCATCGATTGTAGGATGAATTCAGCTACCGTCTAGATGTTATCCGTGCAGCCGGAGGAGGGGGGGGCACATTGAACATCTATAAACTTCCATGTATGTATAATCAAGTGTAATTTACAGAATTCAAATGCAACATATAATTCAGGAAATATAGCCAGTTGAAATTGTGTCCATCTTTCTGAATCACCCTGTATATTTATTTCCATGAATAATACCAGCATGGTGTTCAGGCGACCGTCTAAGATTTAAGCGTCAGTAGATCAACTTCGCACCGATCACCCGCGCGGTCTAAGGCCCCCCATACACACACAGTTTGGCCTTCCGATCGTCCTTACAGGCAAAACTGTGACAGTTTACCCCCTCCCTTTCCTTCCCATACACAGGCAGATAAAGCGGCAGGCTTCATGCCACAATCACGGTCTTCCAGCCTATAATGTTGAGTCACACACGTCACGTGCTACGATCCTGCAGGCAGAACTGGCGGGCTGACGAGTTTCCCACAGGCCAACAGTCCAAACGATCGGCCGGCCGCACCACACACGTCAGTTTTGCCTTTCAGTCTTCAACTGTGCAGGCCGAACTGGAGGCCAAACTATGTGTGTATGGGGGCCCTAAGGCATGAACTGTCTTCGCTAGCACAAACACTGCGATCGTGGGTTGGAATTCCACTTGAAGCATGTATATCAGTGTGCGTTTATTCTGTGTTTATGCTGGGCTGTGTGCACGTAGCGGCCTTGCAATGGGCTGATCTCCCGTCCAAGGAATCCTACCGATCAAGAAACCGAAAAGGGACCAAGGCCCAACAAAGGGCTGTAGAGCCATAGATATATAGTGCAACTTCCTGAAGAACCTCGATGTCATGTATGCCTGTGTTACGAGTCATGAATTGAAAGCAGTGTAACCTATATTAAGGTACTGCCCCAAATTTTCTTTGTGGATAATTTGCAAGAAACAAGAAAGGTTGGAAACTTTCGTTCACGGTCTTTTAAATACATTCCAGGAGTGCTGACTGTTATACGGCGACCCTATGTTTCAAAACAAGGACAAGTAGGACCTGTGACGAGGTATGGATCTGAGGAATTGTGTGAAAGACTCCTTAGTGTTGTCTGTTAAACCAGTTTCGTACTCCTGTCACGCTGTTGGGCAAATACTCATGTGTTAAATGAAACGCATCGCCGAACACAAATTAGAATATTTACTTTGCACCATCCGCACGGTTTAGCTATGTATTCTTGTCATTGGCCTGGGGCCAGAAAGGAAAATAGTCATTGCATGAACACCAGAGTAGTGAGGGGTTCAGGCTTCAGTATAATAGTTGTAACTATCAATTCTGAGTAATTGAGATAATGGGTGGGAGAGGGCCGTAGATTATTTTATACTCCTCAAAATTGGACTGATACAAAAGGAGTCTTGTCGTTACCCTTTATTTAATAACCGCGATAACCTTCAAAGTACCCACCTTGTGCGTTGTACACGCAGTTCATTTCGCCTGTCATGCCTGAAAGTATTACTGAAATTTGTTATCCGAAAGCATTGTGGCCACATTGCCCTGCAATATCTTCAAGTGATTCAAAACCAGGCCTTCCAAGGTTATTTTTAGTTTCAGCAAAATTGAAATATCACCTGGAGCCCAAGTTAGAGGAGTACAGTTGTAGGAATGTCTGTTTTTAACAAAATATTTGTTGCCCTATCGAAAATGCCACATGAGAAGTTACTGTCATAATGGAAACTGCAATTGTAACGATTTGGTCTTTCTCGACGACAGCCATGAAGGTTGGATTATATGTACCGTATATATATGACTGTTTATATAGAAATCCTACTAGCACCAGTATGGACCGGGAGAGCCCAATCGGCGTAGCGACGGCCGGGTTTCGATTTTCGGCAGGGGCAAGAGATTTTTTTCTGCTCGACACCTTCACCCAACGTCTTTCCACTGGTTAAAGCGACCCGGGTCATTAAGCTGATCACTCACCTCCATCTATTGCTGAGGTCAAGAATGGAGTTAGACCTCCAGTTCCCCGTACGTCTTAGTGGCGTGTTACTTAATTCATCAAGCACTGGGACAGCTTTACCTTTACCATAGGTTTCACCTTTGGTTATGACGTCGCCCTGTTTTAGATCTCTGATACTCTGGACTTAAGCGTTTTGTTACGGGGTCGTACTAGAAAGTGCCAGTTTCATAACCAGTCGGAATGTTTTTCCCCTCCTAAACTGAAAGGCCTAGATTAATTTTATTCATCGTTAGGCAAACAGAACACTGCTTCAGAAGTTAAGTACATATTCTGCAACCACCTAGCAAACCAAGTCCCATAAACTATTTGGCATGAAATTGCTGAATCGTATAGTTAAGTCATGCCACATGCACCGGCTCAAGAGTGCTTCCAGTTGTCCAAAACCACCAGCCGGGGTAGTTACTCGTTCTCAAGCCTTAAATTGTGTCGTCATGGTTTTGAAGGCGCGTGTGGGACGTCGTAACAAACATACTTGGTTTAATTTGATTATATAGAAGAGGCGCTGTAATTTGTAATAAATAGACTATTGTAATGTAGTTGACGGTGCCATTGACCTTGATGTTCTTTCTGCTGCTGATAGCTACTGCCGCAAATCAAATCACACTATATCGCGTAGGATATTCGAAAAAATTCACTATATTTTTTTAAATGCTCGCCGTATCGAAATAATTTTCAAAGATTTTAGGTCGTAAAGAGATTTTTTTTTTTACTTTTGCACCATTTTTGAGAAATTATTTCGTTTTGAGCTTCTCGTAAAATTTGTGTTATAGAGAACAGGTATGATCCTACAGTGCAGTTCGTCCGACAGCTTTTATTGTTAAACTGTAGTGCCTAAAACCCGCTTGGTATCGTTTTTTCGCTTAGATAAAGAAGATAGCCACATCCCTACCATCGCACTATAGGCTGGAATTCATTCATTCGATGCATCTTGTGCTCAGAACACCTTACAGAATGGGAGTGGTGAATTGTTTTCTAATTCCGAACAAGTGGCGTTACTGATAGGGCTGTAACAGGGAGCACATCTGACTCATATTATGGGGTACAGGGTTCTTACCGCAATACCTTAAAAGTAAAGTAAATCCGAAGAGCCTTCCTTGCTACTCGGTAAGTTTACTGCAAAGAAACAAAATTTCTTCAGAGCATCTTAAGTGAGCAAATCATTATCTGGTCGAAGCACATTGTGTTGCTGTTAGTATTTCTGTGACGTAATGGACAGCACTTCAGAATTCTGTACCAAAGCGTTGGCCAGTTACGTCAAAAGAATCGTAGCGGTCCCTGACTTTGAAGTCGGGATTTAACACACTCCGTAGCTTCGTCTAGTGCAGGCATGTCCAACGCGTCGATCGCGGTCGATCTCATAGGCCTGTAAGGAAATTATATGTGAAAAGCATGTAAATTCACTTGTAATATAATATTGTAACGTGTTTCGAGTTCAAATCTCGTTGATCACATGTGTAAGGCCAAATCCCACACCAACCTGACCGTTGCGCAACATGTCACACTGATTATATTCAGATTTTGAAGGGAAAATACGTGTTAAAGTAGTCTGTACTTTCAATGTATGTTGCTTTTGCAACAAACATCATGTGTCGTGTTATTTTTACCAATATTATTGCTTAAAGCGAGGTACGGCGATAGCAGGGGCTGGTAGATCACTGGCAGTTTTGACACTAAAAAGTCGATCACAACCTGTTTGAAGTTGGACATGCCTGGTCTAGTGTAGTAGTGACAAGAACTTGACCTTGAAGAATGCAAAAATGGAGTTATAATCTTTTTACAGGTTACATATGTCGAGGATTATCGTACAAGAATGTAATCTTTGAAATTGGACTGAATTATTGAATTATATGAAGGGGAAACAACAAGTAATGACGTAGAAATAATATTGTTTTGTACTGTATTTTATTTCGATATTTCCGAACTACGTCGCAGTTATATTGTACTTCATATTGGGTGGGTGCAGAACTTAAAAATCTCGACCCGGAAACTGATATCCGCAGTTTTCCTGGTGTTACTCAGGTCGTCTCGGCGTAATTGTAGACAGGACTTTAAATTAGGCCACCACAGCATCGTTTCCACACATTCGTTCAAATTTATTATCTATTAATAATTTTATCATTCGGCGCCATGTAATGTGAGGTATTGAAATCGTCTCTAAATAGCCTGCGAATAATTAAATAAATGGTAAATAAAGTACATATAACCTTCGCTTCTTGTACCTTGTAGTTTCGCCTTGCTTTTTTTTTCTGCCCTGGTCTAGAACTTTGTTTTCCGCAGAAAAAGTAAACAGTAATGCGCATTTGTGCACGCCAGAAACTTGCCCTTCTTGTTCATCCTCACAATTTGTTGAGCCTACGTATATTTTTGATTGAGGATGCGTGTAAACGACGTGTACTCAGCAGAAGTAACGTCGCTACAACAGTTAAGAGGAAAAGCTGTGTGAAGTTACGTTGGAGCGCACGTGAAGGAAGCTGAAGTGCATATCG